TTTGATTTAATATTAAATGTAATCTTGTTGATTTCACAGGTGCAGGGAGCCATTCCTCCGAGCCCCTTCTCTGTGTGACAGATGAGAAATCTCAGATAAACGGCTCTGCCACGTGTTCAGATATTTCCACAGCAAAGTCACCACCCTGCTCTAACCCTGACGCCAGCAGCCCGAGCACACAAGTCATGGAGATCACAGTCAAACAGGAGGAAGATGAACACTGTGAGCGACCTCTCAAAAGGCTTAGGACTGACGCAGACCCCAGTAGTGAAGGGTCTGTCCCCCAAAACAAAACCGAAACCATCTGACTCACCAGCAGAAACTTAGAAAAAAGACAGAACTCCTGACCTCAGATGAGGGGTTGATACAGGCCCTGTTTTTAGCATGAAGGTAGCTGTGTGTGAATTTCAGGGATGCAAATGAAGCACATTTCTGTTCTCTCACATTACTGTCACTGAGCTCAGTTCATATCTCAAACACTCATGATAGACTGTCATATCAGACAGTCAACCCTGTAGCACTATTTATTAATATAGGTTAAGATGAGCAATGTTATTGTGTTTTCTTTGTTATTTGAAAGAAACAGCTGACTATTTTATTGTGAAGCTTCTGTCATTTGGTGTGCATAACATTGCTCTAGCTGTAAATGCACACTGTGGAAAAGCCCTCTTGATTTTATATGAAGTATAATACTGTAAATATTTGAAATCTAAAATTATTATAAAAAAAAAAAAAACACTGTGTTTGGAACATTTTGAATAATTCAGGCGGTTGTAAAAATTAATTTTCTAACACTGCAACATTCCATCTTTTTCATTTCGGAATTTCCTATTTGACCAAAGTGAATGGTTGATATGTCGTTTAACAGCATTTTTATGAAGATATTTCCTGTTTATATGAAAAAACGGTCTTATTTTTGTATTTGATAGCTATTTATTTTTGTTAATCAGATATTGGTGACACATGAGGCCAGTATACAGAGTATATTTGTATAAGCCGGAGCGAGTAGTGTTGAATTTAAAAGGCAAAGCAGAAACGAATGGTGCTATTTATTCATTTTCTCACTGATAATGTCAGCCCATGCTTAAGATAACATTTTTGTTACATTTTAGGACCTCTTATTCCTGTCAGGAATAGTAGGGGAAAGTGGAATATACAGTTTCCTTAAATTGGCTGTCATTCATGTCTGCATAGCTCAGGAAAATCAGTACAGAAACATAGGGTGTGTCAAATAGTTGTCCGTTTCAATTAATGAACTACTCATTAAACTCAGACTATTGACCAAAATCCATAGTCTTTCGTGATTACTGAAGTCAATCAGTTTTGTCACCTCACTATCACATTTTAATGAGTGGATTGTATGCTGAATAAAGCTGTTCTTATTTGAGAGAATCTTATATTTTCTAGTGTTTTGTTTTTATCTGTCATCCTGTCTTTCATAAGGTCCGACTAGGTTCACACCAAGCAAATTGACCTTTTAAATGTAGAATTGGTCATGTGGCTAAAGAGCTTTTGTTTGTTGACTATTCATATGCCTGAACAGCAGGTGTCAGTGTTGCTCTTAATTTAGTTGGAAACAAAAATATAAACATTCATTGCTTGTTTTGTCCCAAGCACATTATTTTCACAGAACAGGGTAACATGGGCTTAAATGCCCAAAGGGTCTAAATGGTAATTAATGAGGACCACATACAATGCAATCTTAGCATTACCACCCAAAGACGGTGATATGAAAAAAAAAGTCATTTACTCGCCTCATGATGTTCCCAAACTATTCGAAGGCTGAATAACGACAATTAACACTTGTGAACTTCAGTGAATAATTAAATGCACCAGGCTAACTAAACGCGTCTCTTTTTTTTTAAAGAGCAGATTGCATACTTGTTTCTCTAGAGTCTAGAATTAGCTAGCGAATTTATCTGCTTTTTATTTTTTTCTGAGTGAGCCACAGGATAAAACCAATGCCACATATCAAGTTGTGCAGCTTAGGACCAGTCTGTATATTTAGAGCGGAACAGAGACAGACCATAAGTGCTCATGAAACGAGCGAGTGACCCGACAGCTGCTGAAATGATCCTGGAATACTAAACGCAGAGTTTACCGTTTGGCTTCACAAAAGCATTGCAGCTTTGTTCTAGAGACGTATCTGGTCGCCGCTCTCTGGGGAACACTTGTTGTTGGAGATCCCTCAGCTGCTGGCTCCATTCAGTGGAACAGAATAAAACAGGCGAGCCAGCACACAGCACAGATGTGAAACGCAAATGAACATAAACATGGAAGAAGTGACAATGGAGCATTTCGAGACGATGTTTGCAATATATAGTGAATTTCCAAATATACAATGAAAAGATTAGAAAGGCAATGATTCAAAAGAACAATTTATTCACAAATTTGACCGCTATTTCTGTCATGATTGCACCAAGCAAAACTAGGATGGATGATGTTCATAAATAAACTTGGTGTGTCCCAATTCGCTTATGCAATTTTGTAGTCTAAGGCCCTGTCCCAAATGGCACACTTCATGTGCACTTGTGGTCTCACAATGGCCGCCACGTGCGCAAGTCTACAAGACCGTAGGGTGTCCCATTCATTTTAGCTTTCAGAAGGGTGCTCCTTTGTGGCCGCTATATGCCCTCCATGCACACTTCTGCCGAGCATGCACTGAGGCAACTTCTACCCGACATAGTGGCATTACGTCACAAAAGTGTGAACTCAAAAGAAGACCACTCTACCCATACATTTGGAAGATTCAAATTTTGTGTTTTGGATCAAATTCAGTCAGATTTGAACCATCTCCATAAAAGCTCCAAAATCCTAGTAACTGCGTAATAGCATTTCTTACAGGTTTGGAATGACATTGGGGGTAAGTACATTTTTGGGTGCACTATCCCTTTAACAAAAAAGCAGGAAGGAGGGAAACAGGAACAGCAGCATATTGGGTTTTAATCCCAAATGCTACTTTCCATTTCCCCATCCTAATCAGAATTACTTTCATGCTTTCCATGCCCTTTTTGCAGATCCTTGTTTATTTGTGAACACCACACTCCCTGGTACAACAAAGACATTTTTAGCAGTAATTAAGTCTTAATAGCTTTTAGCGAATGCTCTGTCCCCCTTTCACCTAGACAGATGACACAGACACACCCAGCTCCCTTTGCCACAGTCAGACCGACTGCATAATAATTGGATGTTCGCACAGTAGGAGAGAGCCCTAAATGTCATTCGCCCTACTAAAATAAAGCTGGAAAAAGAAGAAGAGGACATAACTGTACTTTTCTTTTCTTGAGGGACAGCAGTGATTAGGGATTGGGAAAAAATGCATCTATCATAGATGAGGATAAGATTAAGTTCTCTTTGAGGACTGTTTTCAGAGACTGCCACAATAGGCAAAGTAACCAAACCAACAAAGAGAATGATAAATAGGTTTGTCTAAGTAGAGACGAACTAGGGTGCCCACACAACTGTTGGTTCCCTTCCACAGGCCAAATCCGCTTGGGGAGGAGGGGAGAGCTGATTGCGCAAACCATTGTGAGCTACCATTAAAAACAGTTTAAACTGCTTTAAAAAACAGCCTTCCTCAATACCATCCGTCTTGCACAAAGAGCTACAATAGTGCGCATTAGTGCCCGTCCACTTTTTCAGCAGCCTTGGTTCCGGAATTATATTTCCCATTCTTTTTAAAACCATGCTATGAGGTGAATCACAAGATCATAAACTTTGATTTGAATCAAAAAGTATTTGAAAATTGGACAAGAAGACAAAGGTTCAAGACTTTAGTAACTTTATTGAGGGAAAAAACTACAATCCCATGAAGCATTGCAAATGACAATCATATATAAACACACACACACACACACGTTTACTTAGCTATCTAAATGGGGACATTACATGGACTTCTATTGTTTTTATATACAGATCGTTATACACTTTTTAACCTAAACCCACCCCTACCCCTCAAACAAAACTTTCTGCATTTCTACAATTTCACTTTACTTTATTTTTATACCAGTTTTACAAATTAGGACGTCCCCAAATGGAGGTTTTTGGCGATTTTGTCAGGGTTTGCTCACTTTTGGGTACAAATTTGTCCCCAAAATAGGGTTAAGTAGGTACACACACACACACACGTCATTTGCAGTGCTTAATGGGAGTGAGAGTCTCAAAAGTGGTTTGGTGTGATTCGCTCGCCACGATTCTCTGATTAGTGGAAATTTCTTTCCATAATTATTGGTAATGTAGCTTTTCACTAGCAATTCTGCTGTTAAAAGTGATTGTTTAAAAAATATTTCAAACAATGTGCTTCATCAAAAGAATCAATTAACAACATCTTTAAAAGGTCTATAATTTACAGATTCAATATTTATTTCCAGAACCTGTACTATTGCATTCTATAGCGAGGTGTTCTGCTTTTGAACGGATAGTTGACCAACAAAAAATAAATACATTTCTTAATCTCGTGTCATTCCAAACATGTATTTCTTTTGAATGGCATCCTTCAAAATATCTTCTTTTGTGTTCTGCAGAGAAAATAAAGTCATACAGGTTTGGAACCACATTAGGGTGAGTAAATGGTTACAGAATTTAGATTTTCGGGTGAGCACCATGGCAACTTTGTAAAAATCACATTCATCAAATCTGCCCGCTGGGAGTTCAAGCAGTTTCCCCATTTTATTTAGGTCTCCCTGGAGGCTAATACTCACCGCAGACATTAGCAAAATGTTCCTCTTTCCATTACCAGGCACAGAGCCACCGTCTCCTCTGGGGAGCCAGACATAACCGCAATCTCCGCATACTGACAAGAATTGTGAGCTGGTATGCAGCAAATTTATGCAGGGGTACAAAAGATAACAAATAACTTTTTCATTTCATCAATACCACAAACAACTGACACAACTGTTCTGATTTAACCGAATGTAATGTTTAAGAACAACAAGGAGACAAAGAGCGACAAAAGATTTTTAACAATTTAATATATCAATATATAGATATTTATCAACAACTTGAATTTCATAGAAACGTGAGTGAGACCATTTTGGCATACAGTACAGATATTCCATGTAAGTACAGTTTTTCTAATGTTAAAACCCCCTCCTTATTCCCACCACCTCTGACCCATTGACACAGACACCAGAAAAGCAAACAAAACATAACATTATTGGAAAATATACATGAACACATACAAGGCACCAATAAATTAAACTGTAACCCTCTCTTTCAACACTGAGTGTAACTTATTAAATAGAATTACAATTTAATTTATCTATTAAATAAATGTACAAATACAAATTAAACACTATTTCTGCAATGTTTACGGTTAAAAAGCAAAAATCAAATTGAGGAAGAAAAAAAAACACTTTGGCAGATTATTAATTTTTAGTTACAATCAAGTAGTAAAGAAATCCAGTGCTCTCGAGTACAAATAAATCCATGTATGGTCTACACTCTTTTTTTGTCTAGGAGACTAATATACACCTTCTTTTTACAAGAAATGTTTAAAACCTTATCAAAAGTTTTGCTGTATGAAAACATATTTACAAATCACGATTCAGACTCATTTGACAGCAACGGCTACCCTTCCCCCCATCCTATGTAATCATTTACACAGTGCAGAAGGCTTCTTGAAAAAGTTTGTGCAACAAACAGCGTACAAAATGTCTCCATACAGCTATGGAATGACTGGGACGCATGTTTCCTCAAACGACAGGAATAACAGGCCCTCCTTCCTCCCCCTACAAACCATACAAAAAATTAACAGTTCAAGTAATATACATCATGTCAACATGATCTCATAGGGGCAGACCAAAACAGGTCTTTTTTTTCCCACACAGGTCACAAAGAGAACAGACGGGAATGTTACCATGGGTGTGGAGGACCCGTCTCATCAGCGGTTCAGCTCTACAAGTCCACCAAACTAAAGAGCACTGTTCCAGGAGAGGTTCCAGCGTATTGTCCAGTGTATCGTCCATTTTAAAAGAATGGTAGCCCTTTCAAAAGCAATGTTGGGCCGATGGGGATGACAGGTAGACAGTGATGAGGAGGAGTTACGGATATTACGAATGTTAGTCACAGTGGAGTGGGGTGAAGGAGCAGCGTGGCGAGTCCCTGCAGTGCTAAAGGAAGGCAGGACTCGCCGATACACATGCATAGAGTAAGAATGATGGACAACGGTCACAAAGTACTGCTTGTTATCTACTGTACAGAGAGGCCGAAAATCCAAGGTCTAGAACCTTCTGTGACCAGATCGTACACGTGTTTATAAATTATAATAAGCTAAGTGATCTGCTTGTAGAAACCTTGACAGCTAGAGAGCTCAATGTAACAAAGTTTCCCATAAAAACATTTTTGCACCAACTCTTGAGCAGCACCTCAAAACAATGATGAGTTTGGGGTCAGGAAAAAGAAACATGCATGATGCTTCTTGTGAAAAAACAAAACCTGATTAAACCAGCCTAAGCTTATTTGCTGGTCTTAACTGGTCTTCCAGTCTGGCCATGCTGATTTTCAGTTGCTTTAGCTGGTCAGCAAGCTGGTCTCCCAGTCTGACCAACTGGCAAGTGCCTAAAATCCATTTAAAACCAGTTTCTGGTCTTCGATTGTCACCTAGTTTGGTGTCCAGTTGGTTTAGCTGGTAAACAAGCTTGTCTTCCAGTCCAAACCAGCTGATAAGTGCCCAAATTCCATCTAAAACCAGTTTAGGCTGTTTCTTCTCATTTTAGTTGGTCTCCTAGCCTGGTGTCCAGTTGGTTTCAGCTGAACAAGCTTGCCTTCCAGCCTAAACCAGCTGATATGTGCCCAAAATACCAGCAAACCAGATCTAACAAGACCAGCAAACAAGTCCAAGCAAAGCGCTTCTGAAGAAACCAAATTTATAACGATTAAACAATAATTTATGACATGACAGTTCTAAAACTGCACATTAAGCAGTTTGATTACCCTGTATTGCTAGTCTGAGATTCTCAAATCAAAAAGTTTCACATTTTCAGAGCCGATATTTTTTTTAAATACTCAAAGCATCTAAACTGTTACCGCTTCCAAAATCAACCTATCCATTATCCTTTCAATACTGTATACATATTTTGACGTGAGAAATAGTTAAGGATGAATGAAGATTCATTAAACAAACTATAATATCGATGGCAATAGATCTGTTATCTCCAAAACATGTCTTCAGTGAAGACATCTCAAGCCGATCTGATCAGAAAACCAACTACAAACTGCAGCTTCTTTAATCCTCACAGACAAAAGCCTGAGCAATGAAACTCCCACACTGTCTCTCTTCCTAATGGAAAACAAACAGTGACTTAATGGAGGATTCTTTGATATGTGGAGGGATGTTTTACACAAGATGCCTCATCACAGCAGAGAAGAGCAAAGGTGGCAGGAACAAAGAACCACTCAAGATGCGAGACCAGCCACTTACGGGCCAGAACCAATCTCGGGTACTTTCAGTAGCCTCCAACAAAGGGCAACTCACATGACTAGTTCTTCAAAACCATCTGATCTAACATCACACCCCAGTACACAGAAACATACCGTCACATGCCAAGTTTTAATCCCTGCTGGAAAATCTTAACCCAGCCTAAGGGTTTTTGCTGGTTTAGATTAAGCTTAGATGGCCTTGATGGTCTCGAAGATCTATAAATCAGTGGTTCTCAACCAGGGCAAAAGGCAAACTATCAGGGGGCCTCCAATTACATATATTGTTTTGTTTATTTCAGTCAGTCTTGATCTAAATCCATCAAACCCCTTTAAACCATCAATTCAGACTAGCCTAACTAAAACCAGCAAAAAAACTGTTTTTTACATTGTCCAATCAGTCAGTGTCCCTCTGACAGTGATACAGAAATAACCAAGTGCTCATTCATCACACAGAGAAAGTTTGAGAGTTGATATGTACAGGAAGCCTATATTCAGGCACTCCTCATTTCCTGTGCCACACGTCGAACAGATGACTGTTCATATGAGCAAAGCTTTGATCTACGACTCTAATCTATCACGCTATTAAGTCACCCAATATGGCAGGCGGTGTCTTCTTTGTCAGCATGCTAAATGCTGAAGAGTTTTCTCCAAGGCATGACGAATGTAGGGGCGGAAAAGACGTGTGTTTTTGCGTGTCCGAGAAGGAGCGATCTAGACTGTAGATATGAACAAACAGCATTTTAGCCATTATCAAACCCTGGCTACCGTATCTATTAGCGTGATTGTGATAACAAACCACACAGATTATAACGATAACTGATAATATTTTAGAAAAACTGATGTCCTGAGCTAATGTTTTGGGGTTATAAATGTGCCTGGGCAGGAAGATTTTAGTTGGTCCTAGAAACTTGAGAAAAACGGAAGACCCAGTGCTGGTAAAATAAATAAAAATGGAAAAATATATTACCTCTCAAAACTGGGAGTCAAATCTGACTCGAGTGACTATGGAAGACGTGAAGGAACACTAGTCTTGGCATTGGAAGTATGTAAGCAGGAGGACAGAAAATGACAGATTCTGACTTATTTACAGGTAAATCTTAATTTTTGTGGTATATTATTTGCTTGTGAGATTATATGAATGCATAACAGCCACATGGTGGAATCTGTGTTTAGTATGTCTGCAAATATGAATTTTCCACACCCTCTCTCCATCCTATTTCATATTTTCCTTCAATGCATCTCCTATGCTCACAGGATGGATTGCCCACAATTCTCTCCCAACATGTTTTGCCAGACAAAATGGCCATAGCTCAGCTCAAACCAGCTTAACCAGTAATAAAACTATTTCTAATAAAAAAAATAAACAACTACAGCACGAGTGCAGCAGGAGAGCCACTGAGTGTTAGTGACTACTGACGTGATGAGCTATGAAGTTAGTCATCATTAGACAGCACTACCTATGACTACTGACACAGAGCAAGAATGATGCTAGTAGTTTAATTTTAGAACTAGTGATTATTGCCCGACTGAGAGTTTATGGGCTGGAAAAGACACTACGAGAAGACAAACCCAGTTTTCAAGTGCTCGTGTGTCCTTTTGGCTCTCTGTGCCTTGCTGCGTTGTCTCGTGCAACCTCCTCGACGGAAGGAGAGATGGAGGACTAAAGGACGCATGGATTCGGGGACGGAGAAGGAGAGAGCAACTACAAGAATCACCCTCAGGGGAATCCGTCATCGTCTGGACTGAGCGCCACGCGCTGCGGAGAGCAGATAAAAAAAAACAGTTACATGTGTTGAGAGAAAGGGTGAGAAATAAACACATAGGAAAGAATGAGGAGGCCCATGGAGAAGGAGACGGCTACAGAACCCCCCCCCCCCCCCCCCCCCCCCCCCCCCCCACATACACACACACACACACACACTGTGAAGAGCGTGATGTGTGGGGCGCTGGAGAGAATCCTGTTATGCCACTGGGGCGGCCTGCCCCGTTTCTGGTGTGTGACTGATGTCTTTATCTCTGCTTGTGCTTGACATGCTGACTGTAGCACAGAAAGTTCAAATCACACTGTTCTAATCCCTCCATCTGTCTAACAGCTCTCAACAGCACCATGCTAACTATTTTAGCCCAGGTCGACAGTTATGCAAATATATGAATAAATCATTACACCACCCAAATAAATTATCAGCAAAACACCTAAATTAATAAATAAATTCTAATATATTAAAAGATTGTCCAGTCATTTAAGGTGCTCGTTGCTCATCCCTAAAACAGTTATACTGAATTAATAAAAAAAAAAAAACTATTTGGTAAAGGGAGAGCACAATTTCAAAGCTTTCAAACGTGGAAAGCATTTAAAGCTTTACACACACACAACACGAGAAACCAAAGACCATGGCTGCATCCAAAATCGCATACTTCCCTAGTATATAGTAGTCAAAAAAATTTATAGGAAAAGAGTAGTATGTACGACTTCATAGTAGTCTTAAAACAATAGGTGAAAAGTTCCTGGATGACATACTATTTCCACATCAACTTGACTCTTTACTATCCCATGAGGCCAGGGGAGAGGATTTGTAAATGGCAGTGAATGGGTGATAGGTCACATGATACTGACAACATGGCGAATGTAGTACATCTGGATTAAATTCATATTACACACATTCATACTATATACTAGAACCCATTTTTTTAACGGTCGCAAAGTAATTACTTATTCAAAAGAAGTACCTACTCAGAGAGTACGCAATTTCGGAATCAGCCAATGGAAAACACATACAGACTAATGAAACCTCACATGGTAATCCGTACACTAATTAAACATACATTTGAATGAAAATGTGTGGTGAATTATGAGTATAAATATGTGTGACGAAAGAGGCAGCATAATGCCCTCTCTTGGGGAACGCTGTCTTAGCCCCGCCCACATTTGATCACTATCCGATTGTCTTCCTCTCTTTGTTCACTTTGCGCTGGACAGCATAGGTGCCCCTGAGTACCAGTGAGCTGCTGGGTCTGGGATACCGCCACCCAGTGGCAGTGCTAGGTATGGCTCTCTGGCACTGCCACTCACTGCAGGGTAGACGTGGCCGATCTGCTCGCTGCGGCCGATGTGGATTTCGTCGTCGTCATCCTCTGTGGTCTTGCGGTAAACGGGGTTGTCGAAGTTCATGCTCTTGGTGTTCCGTCTCCTCCAGTTGCGCCACACCAGGTAGCCTCCGGTACACATCAGGCCGATGACCACTGTGGCAAGGATAGGAACTGCATGCGTTTAACACACAGTCAACACATACGGCGGGGGCGTTAACACAGCCAGGGGACACAGAGCGGCGCATAATGACACACACACACACACACACACACACACACATATAAATTCAAGCTCACACACTCAAACTTTAAGGTGCATCATGGCAGACCAGGGTCAAATGGTTTTATTAAAATGGTTTATAAAACAAGAAATTTGGTGAATGACATTATGTATCAAAGCAAATCTCATTGTATTCCACAGAATCCTCAGATGATAACACTGGTGTAAAAACTACACTATGTTTAGAACAGCAGGTTTCTATCCTACTTGTAATATATCAGCAGTATGCATAATGTGTTCATTCAATGCTTGCTGTTTTTCTTGCTGCAACTCTCTTACCAAAATCCAGGACATATTTAAATAGAATTTAAAATCCTTGTTTGTGTGATTTTATACCAATAAACATTAAATAAAATCTACAAAATAGTATAGGCTATACAAGTGTCATTTATAAAAAGAAAAAACAAACAAACAAACCTGTCTACATCAGCATGGGAAAAGTTTATAAATTTAAATTGGACTTAAATTTGAATTTGACTTTTCTTTTCAATGATAACTTAAATTAAATGTAACGTAGTAAGGTTACAAAGTATGCATACTGTTTCTCACATACAATTAAAAAAAATAGTTCGCAATATACAGTGCATAGCATGTTTGGGGTCAGTAAAATCTTTTTAAAGGGTTGTGGTCAGTAAGTTTTTTTTGTTTTTTTTATTCAGTCAAGATGCATTAAACTGATCAAAGGTTATGGTAAAGACATTTATAATATTACAAAAGCCTTCTTTTTCAAATAAAATTCTTTCAAACTTTATATGCATCAAAGTATCCTAAAAAGAATGATCATGGTTTCCACAAAAATATTAAGCAGCACAACTGATTTCAAAACTGATAATAATAAGAATTTTACTTGAGCAGCAAATCAGCACGGATTTAACGAACGGCTGCTGAAAATTCAGCCTTGCCAACAAAGGAATAAAATAAATTTTGAAATATATTAAAATAGAAAACCCTTATTTTTAAATAGTAATAATATTTCACAATATTACTGGTTTACTGTATATTTGATCAAACAAATGCAGCATTGGTGAACATAAGAGACGTCTTCTAAAAAACATTGAAAAATCTTACCGTCCCCAGTCTTTTGAATAGTAGTGTACATAATTTAAGAAGAGTCAGATCATATCACTACCAAAAATACTACTTAAAAAGCAGGTCTAAAACCCCCAAAATAGCACATATGTATATTTTAAAACTAGGGCTGCCAAAGACGCACCTTTCCCACTCTCACACACACACGCAGTGGCTTAGTGGAATATGTGAAGGGGGTGCTCACATGCTGTTCTGTGAGAAAGCAGGGGTCTAAGGGGAATCGAATTGGACTGTGTGTATGCTCCCACACGCCTACATGTGAATGGTTGGGGGGGATCACATTGCTATTCAGGGTGAATTGATAACCATGTGTGGCTTTCCTGCAGTGGCTGGCTAACCCATTCCCTATTTTAAAAGATCAGCCGTGGCTTCTCTGGTCCCCTGGAAGTTCTCCCTAATTGCTCTTTTGTCTGGGGGGGCCGCAGAGACCTCCTCATGATGTGTTTTCCTCCATCACTCAGGTTCTATTGTCTCGCTATAAACACTTGGAATGCATTTTGTCTATGAATTACATTCGATTTTTTAACCAAACTACCATAAAAGAAAGCATTTAGAAAAATGTTACAATTTTAAGGGATGCCCATAGAGGGACTGCAATTGCAAAGAGCTATTAAAACGTTTTTTTTTAGAGAAAAAGTATTTCACTTAGTGTCTTTCATTTGAATATGAGCACAGACAAGGTCATTTCAATCCCACTAAGCCACTCGCCAGACGGCTCAGACAATCAATGAAGCCCATCAGGTCCTTTTGACAGAGACTTTCTGCAGAAACTATGAGATGTATACATTACTGTACTTTATATATATAAATATGTACTGTTATTTAGTTTGCTCAAACAGTCAAAAGGATGATGTATAGAAACTGAGAAAATGATCACAAAATCAAAATGCATGAGTGACACTTCTTTTTGTAGGACCAAAAATAACCATTTATAAAGCACTTATTTCATAATGAGCATAACATATTTCAAAACACATTTTGTAGGCCGTGTGTCATATAACTTTTTGAAATAGACACTTTAATTTAGAAAGAATATTCTTGATTAAATACAATTCAAGCTGAATCGACAGCATCTGTAGATAATCTATGGATAATCTAATGCTCTTCATACAAAAAAATAGAAAAATAAAAATATGGAAATGTCACACTGTCAACAAAGTATAACCATATTTAGACTAGTTTGAAGCATTTTTTAACCTCATCAGTGAAAAATTATATAAATATAATAAAAATGTAATTTTATAAATGTAATTAAATATGAATGTATAAATATAATTACCCACACAGCACTTTTCAATAGAGCAAAATCCACACACAGAAAAAACTGCTACTTCAATATCCATTTCACTGCACAATGTTGTTTTTAGGCAACAAACACATTCATGCTTGAATTCAAATTCATACAAATCATTTCTATCTAAATGTGAGATGTTTACTTGAAATATAAATCTTTTTTTTTTTTTTTTTGGGTTGATGAAAAATCAATAAAAATGTTTGAGAGAATTTTCAAGAGCAAAAAGTGTGTCGTCCACATTGTGTACCATTGCCGGGATAAGAATTAATAGATATGATGGACCACCGGGATGTAATGTGACTTTGAAAAAGTTTTTTACTCATTTATTCCAAGTAATCTCTAAGAATAAATATGTATTATTAACAATTGTTTTATGCATCACGTGTTTGCAAAGTGAAGAAATGGATTTGTTGCACAGAGGGACAGTAACATCAGATAGCAAACTCAGAATTGAGTTGAAATTATTTCTGGAATAATTAGCATGCTGTCAATAGCACTTAAATTGTATTTAACCTGGAATATTAAGCTAAATGAAGCCGCAGCAAGTTTATAAATGGCTAGGACCACCGTAAGTGTCTCCAAAGCAGGTAGTGCACATAAAGCTCAAGGGCAAAAGCTGTTCATGGGTGAATAAGTCTGAATTCAAAATGCAGGATAAAATGCTTAGTTAACTTTAATACTCACCTATTGGAATGACTATACCCAGAACCGCAACGGTTATATTGCTACCAAGGAGGAAATGGTCATTTCCACTGCCCGCTGAAATAGAAAGATGAGCGAAAAAGACAAATGAAGAAAGAAAGACATGCAACAATGAGGGAAAACAAAGAAAGACTGTATTAACTTTCTATTTAATCACAAGATCATAACCAGAGGCGGACAGTAACTAAGTACATTTACTTGAGTATTGTACTTAAGTACACTTTCTGAGTATCGGTACTTTACTTGAGTATTATTTTTTCTTGGAACTTATAACTTTAACTTCACTACATTTGAATGTCAAATATTGTACTTTTCACTCCAATACATTTCTATCAAGGTCCTCGAAGTAGAAAGTCGTTATTATATAGCAGCTTTGAAAGTCAGTGGGTTATTTTTTTCTTCTCTAAAACTTGACTTTCTTTTTTTCAGACAGTTTATCAGTAATCACTCTTGTAGGGCTACATTAAATAATTTTCCAGCATTTTTTTGAACACTGACCAGTTGCAAATGTGATATTTATTTACAACAATTCAATAATAAGAAGTTGATATTGTGGTATATATAAGACACAATGTTTTCTGATTTTGCTAAATTGTGTATGTGAAAATATTAGCTATAAAGCCACAGAAGAACTGTTGTGCATCTCCTAATAAAACACAAAAGGTGTTGGACTTGAATCAGCACTGCACAGACTGTTCGGTGTGTGATATCAAAGTACAGCGAGAGCGATTAGACAGCATTTAAAAAAAAATGTTTTGATGTCAAATAAGTCTTGCTGTTTTGCTTTTTTGTTAAAGCAGTGTTTCTGTTGTAAAGTTATACAGCTACAGTTGTGTTGCTGGGTTTTAAAGCAGGTTTGATTTTTTTTCTTTTTTCCTTATCACTCTGTATTTACAGGATTTCACTGTCCACTCTGTTCAAATGTGGTTGAATGGCTACACATAGATGTGTGCACACACTGTCAGAGCTGTGTGAGATCACTACCATCCTGCTTTTGTTGGGGTGGGTAGGGGTGTTAAATATTTATTTATTTATTTATGTTTTGTTTTTTTCCCCCATAGGTTTTTAACATTCTAAAAGCTCTTTATTCCAAAGATACTACAAGCTAGTCAGTGTATTCAGCAGGTGTAATGTATTCTAAGTTGCTTCAGAAGTATTGCAAGTATTACATACAACAATAAAACAGTGCATTGACATAAAAAAAGGAAATTTACTTTTGGTACTTAAGTACTTTTAAAAGCAAGTACTTCTGTACTTTTACTTAAGTACAAATCTGCCTTTACAACTTTTACTTGTAATGGAGTAATATTTGACCAGCAGTATCTGTACTTTCACTCAAGTAATGGAGTTGAGTACTTTGTCCGCCTCTGATCATAACAGACCCTGTAATCTGCAGTTTAGTTAACAGCATTGTATTGTCCATAATTATTGAGAGTGAGCAAATGATGACAGGTTTTTCCTTAAGTGAACTATTTCTTTAAAACAGCATCAAAATAAAACACTGACTGCGTTTGCAGCATGTAACAGGTATGTTTTCACTGCCATTTTCATTTAAATGAATCTTTTTGTGTCCAGTGTCCATTTACATTGCTATCTTACCCAAGGCCACATTATTGCGATTCATACAGCACTTTGGTTTGTGCTGTTGCTTCCCTTTTAAAGGTTTCTGCTGAGCAGTTGTTTCCACCTAATAAATCCCACCTCAATCTCACAATTAGCACGTGGCCCTCCATTAGCTACAGCATAATTAGTGTCTGATAATGGAGTCTGAGCCAGGAGATTAAGAGGACTAGATGGTACAGCATTGAAATACAGATACAGACAAGACAGCCTGAGGGCTTGGAAAATCGGTAGGAAACAAAAGAAATGCAATGTATATAGCAAAAACCACACATAAAGAGAAAGATGATCAAGAAAACATTGTCCATAAGGGGATCCTCTTAAAGATACAGTTAGCATGTTATTTGTGTGAGACCAGTGACATCTGGGTTTCCATGGCGACGCTTCATTTGCATCATCTGCTTCTGTTTTTATATAGTGTATAGTTCCTGTTTAAATGGGTTTTTTAAGTTTCTCTTAAAAGAGCACTGAATTTCTCTTTATGCTAAACGATTTAATACATCCATAAAATCATTCACAGAGCCATATGGCTGTGAAAAGACGCAGCAGTGTATCCAAACTCAATAATGTGGAAATGCTTTTAGTACAAACAACTGGCCTGTAACAGGTGATGCTGACAAACTCCATTATGAGCACTGAATACTGTTAACACACGCTTCATAAATTCACAACCCATGGTTTTATTTTTCATTTTGCACAATATATGATACAGGGGCGTAGCCATCATTTCAAAAGTGGGGGGGACGGAATGTCTAGTGTTATACCTGTTTTTTCCCTTGTCTAATTGACAGGTTTTATTTTTAATCGTACCTTTTTTGCTTTATATGCTTTATGCTTATATTATTATATATGATTATAAAACAGAAGAAAGAGAGAAAGAAACAAAGAGAAAGAAAAAGAGAAAGAAAGAGAAAGAGAGAAATACAACAGCATGTCACTGGGACAGCACCCTTAAAAGGACATCTTTGTACATTATTTACCCCAAAAAGTTTCATAGTTGTACATTAAGGTACATATTGGTACTCTAAGGTACTAATGTGCACCTTTTCCAGTATAAAGTACAAAGATGTCCTTATAAGGGTACTGAGAGTATATTGTTTACATATTTCAAATTGTATTTTGTGTATGTTGTATGTACAGTTCATGGCACACAGTAATGGATGCTTGCACATTCACATACTACTTTATTCTGTTCTATTCTACAGTCCATGCACCTGACACACAATAGTCTTAGGATCTGGCTGGTGGGGTTTTAATACAGTTACAGAAGACCTGCCTACTTCTACAGCACCCAACCCTATGCCAGATGCCCCCTGTTCTGTCTACCAACCAATAATTTGTATCCTAAATTATTTTTTAACACTTTAGTATGGGGAACACATATTCACTATTAACTATGACTTTCGCCTCAAACTCTTAATTTACTGCTTATTAATAGCTTTTAAGGTAGTCGTTGTAGTTGTTAAGTTTAGGTATTAGGTAGGATTATGGGATGCAGAATATGGTCATGAAGAATAAGGAATTAATATGTGCTTTCTAAGTACATTTACATTTACATTTAGTCATTTAGCAGATGCTTTTATCCAAAGCGACTTACAATTGGGGGAAACGGCTATCCTGCTTAATATTTTTCTGGAAACCGTGATTTTTTTTCAAGTTCAAAAGAATATTAACAATGTAAAATCCTTATTGTCACTTTTGATCAATTTAATTGCTGGAAAAAGTATATATGTGACCCTGGACCACAAAACCAGTCATAAGGGCCGAATTTAGATTTATACATCAACTGAAAGCTGAGTAAACAAGCTTTCTATTAATGTATGGTTTGTTAGGATAGGACAATATTTGGCTGAGATACAACTATTTGAAAATCTGGAATCTGAGGGTGCAAAAAATCTAAATACTGAGAAAATCGCCTTTAAAGTTGTCCAAATGAAGTTCTTAGCAATGCATATTACTAATCAAAAATGAAGTTTTTATATATTTACGGTAGGAAGTTTACAAAATATCTTCATGGAACATGATCTTTACTTAATATCCTAATGATTTTTGGCATAAAAGAAAAATCTATAATTTTGACCTATACAATGTATTTTTGGCTATTGCTACAAATATACCCCAGCGACTTGGTTTTGTTTTGGCTTTGACTGTTTTTTTTAAATATATATAAAAACAATCTTACTGTCCCAAAACCTCTGAACAGCAGTGTATAAAAAATTGAGTCATATTTGTAGAATTCTCTCAAAATCTACAGGCAAGTCTTTGTCTTCATTAGCAAGCAGCCATAAAAGGCAGAAAGGCTGCTAAGCGTAATTCATCAGTATCCTCAGTGCAGCAATTTACAGGTTTTATCTAATGGAGAGTTTCACATGTCTACCGTGTAATATTCTGGTAAGTCATACAATATTCAAGAGCCCAAATTTATGGTCAGCATCAAGAATGAGCACTTCTGTGCTTTAATTATGGACTGAGAGGTGACAAGGCTACTAAAATGTTAGTTGTTTTCCCATATTTCTAGTCTCGACAGACCACTTTCAAAGACTTTCAGAGGGCTATCATGGATGTAGATCCTATTACTGAAGTCACTAATGCCTTTTGTCCTGCTGTGTCCAGGTGGCCGTGTACCTGAGCATCCCCACACAAAGCCCAGAGGCTGTGGGGGGTGAGAGTGAAACACTGACTGTGGAGAGGAACAAGGCTGAGGGCAATGTTCATCAGTCAGGGCTGGCTGCTCCGCTCTCTTCACTGGCTGTTTTAATTCAGCACAGACACACATTGGGACCCCGGGCCACCACTGCTGCCTCATCTATCACTCTCAAGTGGCCCAGCGATGCTCAGCAAGCAAATTCCACCACACATTAACTTTTTCAGACTCCGAGGACTACTGTACGAGTACTGTATGAGAGCATTTATATAAGCTTCATGCCTTCAGCTGAATATTAGCGGTGATGGAGAACAAGTCCAACACAAGTAAAACCACACAATATCACATGATATTGTCTTATACAATAGTCCTATGAATATTTACATAAAGGTCAATGACATCAAATACTCTTCAAAAGTTTGTGGTTGGTAAAATTCTTAACATTTTTAATTGTATGCTCACCAAGGCTGCATTTATTTGATCAAAAATACAGTAAAAAAGTAATATTGTTACAATATCAAATAAGTGTTTTCTATTTTAATATATTTTAAAATGTAATTTATTTTTTTGATGGCAAAGCAGAATTTTCAGCAGCCATTTCTTCAGTCATTAGAGTCATCATTAATCATTCCAATAAGCTGATTTGGTGCTCAAAAAACATTTATTATTATTATCAATGTTGAAACAGTTCTGCTTAATTTTTTTGTGGAAACTGTGATGTATTTTTTTATTATTTTTTTTTAAGATTTTGTGATGAATTCATTTGAAATAGAATTTTAAACGGCTTTGTTGTCACTGTCAACTTTTAAATGCCCATGACAAAGAAAACCCCATTCTTTGCATTCATGTCGGTCCATCAAGTAAAAGTACGTTTTCCCAACACCTTGAATACACCTTCTTAATCATTATTTTCAAAGAAGTTTAGTATTTTTTTTACAAATACAAATAATTATTAATTCAAAATTTCATTACATTTTTGGGGAGCTGAATCACATGACATTTAACAACTCGTAAAAATATTCATTTTTAAAGAGCTATTTTTAAAAGCATGCTCATCATAGAAAAGGTGTACTCAAGTTATTGCATATGATTTACATTGTAATCAGTGCTCTCAAAATTAGTGCGTTAATGCATGCGATTAATGCTTTCAGTTTAACAGTGTTAAAAATATTTAACGCAAGGGCGGAGTTAGGGCTGGCCACCCCACTCACTTGTTTCTGTGTCTTTTTTTTTTCTAGACAAGAATTGCGTTTATTTAGACGCAGTGTGAAAAAAAAGGTACAGGGGACGAGGGAGCTTCAGTAGAACAACAGTGATCTGCAGTCAGATGAGATGTTGTCAGGCCATATGTCAGTAAAAATGAATTGTCCTGTCCTGACAGCCATTATACTGTGATCATAGCACGAGCTCTTCAATTGTACGCACAAATGCGCCAGCGCGTTGTACATCATTCGTCAGCTAAGTCATGAAATTACCAAAAAAGTGATTAAAGCTGCCTTAAAACTGTGCATGCATGTAAGTATTTGTTATATATGAGTCACATTTAAGAACATGTCTCTGAAATGCTGTGGTTTTCAAAACTGTCTTGGAGCCCAGCACGGTCTCCCTCATCTACTGTAACACCCCGTTTCAACTCGTCAGCCCATTAGTAGAGACTTTAAGACCTGAAGTGGGTCAGAAAAGGTAAAGAGTTGTGAGAAAATACTATGCGTGTCAGATCCGCATCATGTTCAGCAGCGGCAGCTCTTATAATGTAATAGCAGCCAAAATAACCTAATAACCTGTTAAATCTATTAATCAAAGAACAAAAGAAAAGGATTAATCTATGTTTAATTTAGAATTTAGTGTTTGATAACTTTATGGCTTAATGGGTTTATGCGAATGGCTATAGTCAATGGTTAACTATTAGGGGGAAAAATATTTCATAGAGACATCAGTAGTAGTATTGATACTGGCCTTCAGTCATAAAAAAAGATGCCACTAAAAAAATATAAAAAAAATGTACTGTCTTTATGTTCTTTTTACATTAACTTGAAGATTGCGTGTGAAATTATTGTATTATAAAAGTATATTTAAAAACTTTAATGCTAGGTGGGATTAATTGCAATTAATTTCAGAAAAAATGTGTGATTAGTTAATTTTTTTAATTAACTGACAGCATTAATTGTAATACCATTTTGAATAAAATAGAATCAGACAAAAAAGATCATGATGTCACTGATGCATAACACAAAAACAGAAACGGAAACTCACCGCGATGAGAGAGATTGCCATTGGCACCTTGTATGCTGTTGCCGTGGGTGATGGTTGTAGATGTCTGTCTGTGATCTGCTGTCGTCTGGGTGGAGGTTGGCTGTTTCCATGGTGATGTAGTGCTAGACTGAGTGGTCACTAGGTTTGAAGTGGCTGAGGTGTGTGTGCTGGTGGAATGACGTGAGCTGGAATGAGTGGTTGTGGTGGGGCTGATGGTGGTTGTACTTGATACTGTAGCTGTAGGTGTAGTTGTGGAGATTGTACTGGTTGTTGTAGGTGTATCTGTGTTTGTAGCTGGAGTGGTGGTTGTAGGAGTCACAGTAGTAGAAGGTTCTGGTGTCGTAGTAGTGGTTGTACTTGCAGAAGTTGTCGTTTTGGGTTTGACTACAACAAACAAAACAGATATATGGAGATATATGGAGACATGTGCTTCCCAGAACTATGATTGAAGTTGAAACTTCCTGTAATCTCTTCAGTTTGCCTAAAAGACAACATTTAACTCCCAAACATGAATCAGGTGACATTTGTTTCTTTAAAGTGTGTAGTATGAGTAAGCTTGATCTAGGGCTCTTTATTTTGCTACCTGTCACACAGCGGCGCATGTCTGGGCCCAATTCCATGCTGTCAGGACAGGCACACGTGTACTTGGGCGAGTGGTCTGTGATCTGAGGAGCTCTGAGGCACAGGTACTCACAGCCTCCATTGGGCAAACTCCCCATGTTGCATGTATCTGGAGCTATAGGGAAAAACACATTTTAATTCAGACGAGTTAGCCTCTGGTTCGTTGCATAGTAGTATATATGAGATCATACATTAAAATATGAACACAGCAGCTGAACTATTAAGATGCATTCACATTGACAGAGACCTAACACTGGAGGTCATTAATTTTCAATTAAAGCTGTACCACATGAGGTTTGTAAATAAAAGGTCCAGCAATTTTATTCAGCCTAATTCACCTCAAAATTGGTTTCTATGCAGTTGTCCATGGGTATAAAGTGCATAAGATATATTAACTATTTAAGAAGACACTTTCATATAAATTAATAATTTATTTTTTAAGTTAAATTATATCAGTTATTCAGTTAATTTATATATTCAGTTATTTCAATTTTTTACTTTCTGAAAAAAAAGTATACATTTTTAATATTTAAAATAATAAGAAATGTTACTTGAGCAGCAAATCAGCATATTAGAATGATTTCTGAAGGATCATGTGACACTGAAGACTGGAGTAATGGCTTCTGAAAATTCAGCTTTACCATCACATGAATGACTAGCATTATAAAATATATTAAAATAGAAAACAGGTATTTTAAATTGTAATAATATTTCACAATATTACTGTTTTTGCTGTATTTTTTTTTTAAACAATTGCAGTCTTGGTGAGCATTAGATACTTTTTTCAAAAACTGCGAATTAAGACGAGATTAACAACGGTCAGTAATCATGCTTGTCTAATCTATCTTACAGTATATGCAGAAATGCATCAGAAAGCATTTATTTGGCTTGACGAACTGTTATATTTGTACTTAAACATAATAGATTTAATACATATGTGTTATGACCAGAAACTAGAATCATTCTTTTGATGTTATTATCAGTTGAACAGTACAGCAACGTACAGCTCTTTTTTGCACATTCTCATAAAATCATGTTTTGCAGGGATGCATAACTGATTAATATTTCACTCAGGGGCACTTGAGATACAAAAAGTGGTTGGATTTCATTCTCATAATTTCTCATTCAGCATAAGTGTTTTCCTGCTTTGCATTTTCAGAGCAACAAGTTTAATTCTTTGATTTAGATTTAAATAGCACTTCTCATTTATTAATGTGAGGAGGCTGTAAATTGGTTCTTCTGCTGGCATGCTGCACGTGGTCTATTTGTGATAAAAGGATGAAAACAAAGAATCAAAATCTGCAAACATGCACGCACACTGCTTCTTTCATTTTCTCTGCCTGTCTCCAGAATAACAATTCACCATAAATATGCTATTCAATAACAGGACCGCTATTACTGGGGAAAAAAACAGAGTCAGCAAAGATTTTCGTCTCATTATTATAACAATGCTGAAGAGGTGACACTGTGAAAATAATACTGTTCAAGCATTGTTTCTATTAGCTCCTGAAAGGCAGAACTACTAAACAGGCATTTTTTTCTTTGCTGCTGTACCTTTAAGAAATGTATGCTTCACATGCGAAATGTACAACAAAGTTGTCGTTTTTTTTTTAGTTTCACTAAATTGTTTTTTGGTCTGGGGAGTAAGTTGAGTTCTCAGTGTTTTTACAACAAATCAAAGTCTTTTATCTCAAAAGATCAGGAACAATTTGATTCCTCATGATATGAGTCCTCTAATTCATTATAACATCTATCACTGGCTATTGAGCTCAATAGATAAAAACAGACTGAAAGACACATTACTTTTCAAAAAGTTTGAGGTCAGATGGTTAAATATTAGGGGGAAAAATATTTCATAGAGACATCAGTAGTAGTATTGATACTGGCCTTCAGTCATAAAAAAAGATGCCACTAAAAAAATATAAAAAAATGTACTGTCTTTATGTTCTTTTTACATTAACTTGAAGATTGCGTGTGAAATTATTGTATTATAAAAGTATATTTAAAAACTTTAATGCTAGGTGGGATTAATTGCAATTAATTTCAGAAAAAATGTGTGATTAGTTAATTTTTTTAATTAACTGACAGCATTAATTGTAATACCATTTTGAATAAAATAGAATCAGACAAAAAAGATCATGATGTCACTGATGCATAACACAAAAACAGAAACGGAAACTCACCGCGATGAGAGAGATTGCCATTGGCACCTTGTATGCTGTTGCCGTGGGTGATGGTTGTAGATGTCTGTCTGTGATCTGCTGTCGTCTGGGTGGAGGTTGGCTGTTTCCATGGTGATGTAGTGCTAGACTGAGTGGTCACTAGGTTTGAAGTGGCTGAGGTGTGTGTGCTGGTGGAATGACGTGAGCTGGAATGAGTGGTTGTGGTGGGGCTGATGGTGGTTGTACTTGATACTGTAGCTGTAGGTGTAGTTGTGGAGATTGTACTGGTTGTTGTAGGTGTATCTGTGTTTGTAGCTGGAGTGGTGGTTGTAGGAGTCACAGTAGTAGAAGGTTCTGGTGTCGTAGTAGTGGTTGTACTTGCAGAAGTTGTCGTTTTGGGTTTGACTACAACAAACAAAACAGATATATGGAGATATATGGAGACATGTGCTTCCCAGAACTATGATTGAAGTTGAAACTTCCTGTAATCTCTTCAGTTTGCCTAAAAGACAACATTTAACTCCCAAACATGAATCAGGTGACATTTGTTTCTTTAAAGTGTGTAGTATGAGTAAGCTTGATCTAGGGCTCTTTATTTTGCTACCTGTCACACAGCGGCGCATGTCTGGGCCCAATTCCATGCTGTCAGGACAGGCACACGTGTACTTGGGCGAGTGGTCTGTGATCTGAGGAGCTCTGAGGCACAGGTACTCACAGCCTCCATTGGGCAAACTCCCCATGTTGCATGTATCTGGAGCTATAGGGAAAAACACATTTTAATTCAGACGAGTTAGCCTCTGGTTCGTTGCATAGTAGTATATATGAGATCATACATTAAAATATGAACACAGCAGCTGAACTATTAAGATGCATTCACATTGACAGAGACCTAACACTGGAGGTCATTAATTTTCAATTAAAGCTGTACCACATGAGGTTTGTAAATAAAAGGTCCAGCAATTTTATTCAGCCTAATTCACCTCAAAATTGGTTTCTATGCAGTTGTCCATGGGTATAAAGTGCATAAGATATATTAACTATTTAAGAAGACACTTTCATATAAATTAATAATTTATTTTTTAAGTTAAATTATATCAGTTATTCAGTTAATTTATATATTCAGTTATTTCAATTTTTTACTTTCTGAAAAAAAAGTATACATTTTTAATATTTAAAATAATAAGAAATGTTACTTGAGCAGCAAATCAGCATATTAGAATGATTTCTGAAGGATCATGTGACACTGAAGACTGGAGTAATGGCTTCTGAAAATTCAGCTTTACCATCACATGAATGACTAGCATTATAAAATATATTAAAATAGAAAACAGGTATTTTAAATTGTAATAATATTTCACAATATTACTGTTTTTGCTGTATTTTTTTTTTAAACAATTGCAGTCTTGGTGAGCATTAGATACTTTTTTCAAAAACTGCGAATTAAGACGAGATTAACAACGGTCAGTAATCATGCTTGTCTAATCTATCTTACAGTATATGCAGAAATGCATCAGAAAGCATTTATTTGGCTTGACGAACTGTTATATTTGTACTTAAACATAATAGATTTAATACATATGTGTTATGACCAGAAACTAGAATCATTCTTTTGATGTTATTATCAGTTGAACAGTACAGCAACGTACAGCTCTTTTTTGCACATTCTCATAAAATCATGTTTTGCAGGGATGCATAACTGATTAATATTTCACTCAGGGGCACTTGAGATACAAAAAGTGGTTGGATTTCATTCTCATAATTTCTCATTCAGCATAAGTGTTTTCCTGCTTTGCATTTTCAGAGCAACAAGTTTAATTCTTTGATTTAGATTTAAATAGCACTTCTCATTTATTAATGTGAGGAGGCTGTAAATTGGTTCTTCTGCTGGCATGCTGCACGTGGTCTATTTGTGATAAAAGGATGAAAACAAAGAATCAAAATCTGCAAACATGCACGCACACTGCTTCTTTCATTTTCTCTGCCTGTCTCCAGAATAACAATTCACCATAAATATGCTATTCAATAACAGGACCGCTATTACTGGGGAAAAAAACAGAGTCAGCAAAGATTTTCGTCTCATTATTATAACAATGCTGAAGAGGTGACACTGTGAAAATAATACTGTTCAAGCATTGTTTCTATTAGCTCCTGAAAGGCAGAACTACTAAACAGGCATTTTTTTCTTTGCTGCTGTACCTTTAAGAAATGTATGCTTCACATGCGAAATGTACAACAAAGTTGTCGTTTTTTTTTTAGTTTCACTAAATTGTTTTTTGGTCTGGGGAGTAAGTTGAGTTCTCAGTGTTTTTACAACAAATCAAAGTCTTTTATCTCAAAAGATCAGGAACAATTTGATTCCTCATGATATGAGTCCTCTAATTCATTATAACATCTATCACTGGCTATTGAGCTCAATAGATAAAAACAGACTGAAAGACACATTACTTTTCAAAAAGTTTGAGGTCAGTAACATTTTAAAGAAATTAATAATTTTATTCAGCAAGGACACATTCAATTGATCAAAAGGCACCGTAAATTACACTACATTGTTACACAAGATTTCTATTTCAAATATTGTTCTTTTGAACTCGTATTATGGTTTCCACAAAAATGTTAAGAATATTTTTTTTAAATAAATATTCGTTGAAAATTATTTTTCAACAAATAAAGCTTTGCCATCACAGGAATAAATGTATAAACACATTAAAATAGTATATAAATGTATAAATATATTAAAATAGTAGTTATAGCAATAATATTTCATTATAATTTCACAGTCTTTCCTGTATTTTTGTTTTAATAAAAACAAAAACAGCTATGGTGAGCATAAGACTTTTGAATGTTGGTGTAGGAGAAAAAAAAACAGAAACGAAAATCCTCTTTATTGGAAAAACTACCCTACTTTTAAATTCACACTAATGAAAATGTAGTTAAGTAAACAACTACATTTAACTAGTTACTCTCTGACAATGGCCAGATTAGTCAGACACATCTAAAGTGATATAAAGTGCATTTCACTTATTTGTCACCTTGAGGCTGCCGGAGCTCGTGGAACACCACCACATCCAGAGGGTTGTTGAGATGTTGAGCCAGCATCGCCACATCATGCCCTGTCAGCCGGTTTACACTGTAGATGGCCTCAGCCTCCAAGTCTGTCCAGTAAACCCGGTCCTGTAGAAACATACAGAATGTGAATTCTGCACAAGCAGGATCTAACGCATTCCTGTGGTTCAACAATTACAACATGGCACTAGCAGTGAACTAATACATGAACTGATAATATGTATATATGTATATCTGGAATAGAAGTTGCTTTGTATATGAGTGGAAACAAGAATAAATGCAAATTGTAACAAGTGAAGTTAGTTTTATGCCCAGTTTACACTATACTGTACATAAGTTTGGGGTCCGTAACATTAACAATAATGTTTTTGAAAGTAGTCTCTAATGCTCACCAAGACTGCATTTATTTGATCAAAAACACAGTAAACAGTAATACTGCGAGATACAGTTATAATTGAAATACATTTTTTTAACAATTTTAATATATTTTAAAATGTAATTTATTCTCGTGACAGCTAAATTTTCAGCAGCCATTATTACGGCAGTCTTCAGATTCTACAGAGATGCTACAGAAATCATTCTGATTTGGTGCTCAAGTAACATTTCTTATTATTATCAATGTTGGAAACAATTTATAGGAATTTTGACAATAGAAAGCTGAAAAGAACAGCATTTATTTGAAATATAACTTTTTTTGTAACAATGTAAAAGTATTTACTGCCACTTTTGATCAATTTAATGCAACCTTGATGAATAAGGGATATATTACTTCTTTAGAAAAAAAAATCTTACTGACCCCAAACGGTAGTATAAAGAATGAATAAGAAGTTAAATACATCTTTATATATATATTTTTTATAATTTAGCTTTTTTTACCTTTTCTTACCTAAGGCATCAAGTGACTACTACTCACATTGTTCTTGGGTATTTTATTGTAAATCAGGATACCAATACACAGGACACAAAAGATACTTGGATAGAATAAAAAGCAAACCAACCAGGTATTATTCGGTAGGGCATGTTTTTTTTGGAGGAAAATGACAATGAAGATAAAGACTTCTGTGTCTTTTCATCAGACTAATTAAAGCTCGCAGCTCTATCTCTCCTTTGTATCTTACACCTACATGAGCCTGAAAGCACACGCTTCACTGTCTGACAATACCACTTTCAACATTCTCCTTGCTTCTCCGTCTGCCTCCCTCCTCTGATCAGTCCTTATCAGCCGCTACAGAAATATTGCAAATGTGCATGGTGAGATGGTCTGTTACTATGACAACCTAAGATTCATCTTCTTTTTAAAACGGATACGGAAATGGATGAGGAAGTTCGGGAGAGGGTGTTTTTGGGGTAACAAAAGAAAATTACAAGGGGGAGGGCCAGAAAAAAAGATCAAAGCACCAAGCATGCCCAAGTGGGCAGCTGGCTTCGAGTTTTAGAGGATGTTTACAGAGCCGTGCTTTTTTGGAAAGGTCAGGCTGCTGGATCCCAGTGGAGCTCCGTCAGGTGCTCCTGCTGGTGGTGGCTGATCAGTAGGACTCCTTAACCTGCACTAGACAGCATTCAAATTCTGCCGCATTGCAGCTCTCATCTAACGCACGGGCCACGAAGGCATCATATCTGATATAGATAACTGCTTTAATCTATGATACAAAAGGCTGGCTTCTAACATCCAGGTCTGAAATTTGTACTCCTTGAGCAAGGGGAGCGTATTTATTAAAACCTTTCATCAAAGTCTTCGCTTCATTTGGAAACTGAAATTGGTCTTGACATTTTCAATGCTTCCCACTAACCAATAAAATAATGTGAAAGCTGATGTGGAGATATTGGTCTGTTATGAGACAGGGCAATGTAAAGGTCACACAGCGTCTGAAAAGGTGACAGGAAAATGGAGTAAATGTCTAATATGTAATTTGAGGTCTGCTGTGTTGGAAGCCAGTATGTAGTCTTCTTTAAGACACTAAAATAATTCCCTTAGTTCACTAAAGCCCTCTGCCATAGCACATTTATTTACAGTAAAAACTGTAATGTTGTGAAATATCATTACAATTCAAAATAACTGTTTTATATTTTAATATCCTTTAAAATGTAATTTATTCTTGTGATGGCAAAGCTGAATTTTCAGCAGCCATTACTCCAGTCTTCAGTGTCACATGATCCTTCAGAAATCATTCTAATATGCAGATTTAATGCTTAATAAATATTTCTTATTATTAGAAATTTTTAAAACAGTTGTGCTGCTTAATATTTTGTGGAAGCCATGACACATGTTTTTCAGAATTCTTTAATGAACCGAAAGTTCAAAAGAACAGCATTCCTTTTTTATAAAAATGTAAACGTTTTTTTAGTCACTTTTAAACTATTTAATGCGTCCTTGCTGAATAAAATTAATAATTTCTATTAACTATTAAAAAATCTTACTGATCCTAAATAAGTAATATAATAAATAATACTATTCAATGAAACAATTATATTAATATTATTATCTCATTAACTTTCTGTTTTTCACATAAAGCTACTGTATGTCCCTTGAAGATGTGGAATATGGGGCACAAGTTGTACTGACGACTTTCATGGTGTTTCACAGAAAAATAATGAATGCTATATGGGTTTGTAATGACATAAAGGTGAGTAAGTGATGGGTGAAAAAAAACTATAAAAAAGCAAAATTAGAAAAGGGAAAAGGGCATTTAGTAGCTTTCATTTTCATTACTTAATGCTTTTTTGTTTACTTTTAAGCTGTCAACTGCCAAAAGGAAATGTGTACTTGAAGAAAAAAATATAATTTTAGTTGGGAGGAATGAGAAATTATGCAATTAAAAATAATGAACCAAAATAATGAGCTTACTGGAATTGACTCTGGCACCAAAGACTGCACAAATGTTTCATACAGAAAGATTTGTATACTCCTGTAAGCACATCTACAAAACACCCCAAAAGTTAGAGGGCAGTTTTTGGCTACAGTTGTCTCTTACTGTAACTTCAACAGCCAAGTGGAGAACTTTAGGACCAGCCTCAAGGATACTGCAGCAAAGTAGAGGTTCATTTCACATGTGCCCTCGACAAAAGTAAAAGAATGAAGAAAACACATTGTTTCCTTTTCTCTAGGGTTTGGCCCTGGGGTGCCCTCTTACTGAGCTGGCTCATCAACTGGCCTGATGAAGGGCATTAGGTGATCTATTGTTTGGGCTGGGTCCTACCTTCAGGCGCTGTAGAAGCTGCCAAAGTAAAAGGCTTTTTAATTTGGTCTGTGTCTTTGGCTGGTGCCAGCCACACAAAGCCATACATCTCTTGGCAAGCGTTACTGTCTCACAGTGAGACCCCTGTTCTCCAACTACACCCTGTGAGCACAAACATGTTTATGTGTGCATTTTGAAGCCAAATGAGCATAGAAGCATCTTAAGGCCTGTTTTTGCCAATGGAGCTCCATCTGCACCTGCATGAATGAGTACTTCAGTAAATTATTTGATCAATTTGTTTACCTCAAAAAGAGTCAGGGCAAAGGGATGTCCGAGATGATCCATGGAGGACAGCAAATCTCTACGGTTGTCTCCATTCAGGTCCACACTGGAGATCAGATGAAGCTTGGAATCCACCCAGTAGAGTCGTCTACCAGACAGATCTGGAAGAGGAAAGAACATTTAATGGAACATATAAGTAGCATGTCAATAATACAACAAATGCTTTTAATTTAAGATGAGTGGTCAAAGGAAACGTAGAATAGTGGGTAGTACCCAAAGGCATAATTCATATTTCAGTTCATATTCTATGATTTTTCATTATAAAAGTTTTTTGTTTCTAAATTCTCAATTCCACCTTTTTTGTCAATATCTTTTTTTTCTATCCATCTACCATAAATGCTTTTTCAAATGGCTTTCATGTTAAGCGAGCCAGAGAAATGATGGCAATATTGACAGCGTTGCTTGAGCAATTCCATTTAGTTTTTCCCCAACTGACGGGTGATTGATGAGAAACAACGAAGGTGAATGATTCAAAGCCCTGTTGGCCACAGGAGGCTGCTCTTCATTATTAACACTCTTTCTTCTCCTTCTGCCTCACTCTTACTGGCTTTGTTTGGTCTTTCTCAATCCTAATGTTTTTCTTCTTTTTCCTCTAGTATTTGGGTTGATGTCTTTGTCTCTTGCAATGATGGCAAACGCAGCTCTCTCGTGTCTTGCTTTTTGGTATGATATGCTTCGTTTTGCTCTCTGCTGTTTCTCTTTGATCTTTTGTCGTCTTTTCTGCTATTCTCCAGTGTGTGTTTCTCTATTTTGACTATATTTGAAGATGTGAATACATTTGATTTGAATGGAAAAAAACTGAATTACAAAACTTTCAAATGGTGTTTTACCGAGTGCAATCCCATTGGGCCACTCGATCCTCTCTGAAACCAGAACCTGCCGATCTACCCCGTTCATTCCGGCTTTCTCAATCTTCGCCTGCGTTCCCCAATCTGACCAGTACATGAACCTGAGGGGATCAAAACAAACAAAATGTTCATGATCAGAATCATGGAGAGAGCAGACCAGTGGTTCTCAACCGTTTTGACTCCATTGTCAATATTTGAGGGCACCATGATTTTTCCAGTTTGTTATTTACTGGATAAGGATTAAGAATAAGGGATTTAAAAATTTTTTTTTTTTACACAATTTCAACCCAATAAAATATTTCAAAGCAAGGCACAACCACAAAAATGTATATTCATCATAAAAATGCCCATGGAGTTATACGATTTCATTAACTTACATGACCTTTCCAGGTCTAGAAATCACACTTCTAAAATTAAGCTACCTCATAAATCCAGAAACTCTGGTTATTTATAGAGAGAATAAAATGTGGAATTAAAATAAGAAATATCTGGATTTTTAGTTGTTTTAGCTTATTTTAATACTTGCTTTGTCTTCATTTGAATTCATTTTAAATTGTCTTAAGTCTCCCTTGGAAGTTTGTGGTTCTTGGAAGTCCATTTTTTACGTGGAATACTGCGGAATAGATTTAAACCTGATAAAATGTGTAAAACTGATGTTTAACATTCTTATTGGTAGTATTTAAATATTTTTCAAACATACCTATTAAACATAGGGGCAGGCGATATAAATGAAATTTTGTCAATGACGGTATTATAATTCTGCAAAAATCTGCAGAGCTTTTAGACGAGTTCCCTTTGTTGGGTCAGCAAAAGCTTCATGTTACCAAATAAACGAGATGCAGTTAAGTGGAAAATTAGGTAGCTCCAATGGCCTTGAAACATTTACTCTCATCACCTGTCAAAACTCAAGATGAATAGGTGAGAGTATGATCATTAAAAACAGTCTCATCTAACTCCGTCCCTATAAGAGTGAAGTGGGCACTTTACCAACAGGCAACAATTAGCTGGTATTCCGACCAGCTTGAGATTCATTTGCATGTTTTTCATGCTCTTCTACTTCTGTAATATGGTGAAAAGACCCCTGAGGGGAAAGATTCATTACGATGAACGGCAGTAAAAGAAAACGACACAGACGAAGTGAAGGAACCTTTGACAAGGCTTTCAAAAATCTTGGTGTGTTGACACAGATCATGCAGCGTACACCATATTTACATGATTCATTATTTAATGGGCTGAAAAAAATTGGCGGGAGGAGGATTAATGTTTTCTTTAGGGTGTTGCGAACATGCACATTTTCAAATCAGCTGATTTGTACATTAAAAATATTATATCGTTACCCTTGTCTTGGGTCAACGGCGATGGCACGCGGTTCCCCAAGCTCCGTGTCGATCAACACCTTCCTCTTCTTGCCATCGCCAGTCGCCACAGAGATAGATTTGTGTCCAGAGTCGGTCCAGTAGATGTTCTTATGGACCCAGTCCATTGCTAAGCCCTCTGGGGAATGTAGCGCAGTGTCTATGAGCGTGAACTGTTGAGAAGCATCGCTGGCTTTGCTGATATACGTGCTGAAGAGGAACAAACACACTGTTAATCTACATCCAAAGCATTTAAGCAGATGTATTTATATATTCATAAACAATCACAAGATACTAGATGCATCCTCCAGACTCACGGTGAATAAGCACGACATAAATAGCTGACACTCCCAGCTGTTGCCAGCAAAGTGAAGCAACATCTGCATTTTTCTCAAAGAACAATTGTAGGACGAAATGACTGTGACTTTTCCTGTCTCTGAAAGTTACAGTGACTTACAGTGAATCCAGTTGGATTGCCCTTTGAAGCATGGTGAAATCTGACGTCACTGTGACTGATCTTATGATCTAGCACTGATGAGAAAGTGCCATTATCACTTTAGTGTTACCTTGGTTATTCGACAAAAGGGATTCCGTTTGAATATGCCATATACATGTGCAATGCATACAATAACTTTAATGAGTAGCTAATGCCAAAAGTGTTGCCACAAACATTAATGCAAACACAAACAAAAATCTAGTAACATTTTGTGTTTTTGGCTTGTCTCCACCCAGGTGTTTCTTACTTGTCCTTAACAATACTAACAAATGAGCATATTTTCATGAAAACACAATATGGAAATAAAAGTTAACATTGTGTGTATAACATTTTTTGTATATACACTACCATTTGGAGTCAGTAAATAAATAAAAAAAAAGATATTAATACTTTTATTCATAAATGATACATTCAACTGATTAAAAATGACTAAAACATTTATAATGTCTATTTTAAATAAATGCTGTTCTTTTCTATTCATCAAATAATGAACAAAAAATGTATCACGGTTACAAAAATATTAAGCAGCACAACTGTTTTCAACATTGATAACAATAAGAAATGTTTTTTGAACAACAAATCAGCAAATTAGAATGATTTCTGAAGGATCATGTGACACTGAAGACTGGAGTAATGGCTAATGAAAATTATAGGAATAAATTACATTTTAAAATATATCTAAATATAAAATATTTCACATAGTAATTTTTCACAATTTTACTGTTTTTACCGTTTACTGTATTTTTGATAAAATAAATGCAGCTGTGGTGAGCATACCAAGACTTCTTTAAAAAAAACATCAGTTGTGTAATAGTAGTGTATTTTTATTTAACTAAGCATGCATTATTAAAGATTTATTAATACAAAACAGTTGTCCATTAATCCTGTTCAAATACATTTTTAACCAAATAATGAGAAAAAAAAATGTTAGCTTATTGTATGCCATTTTATCTTTGAGTTAAGTAAGGGATCAGTAAGGGATCATTTTTAAAATCCTGTCAACTTTTATCATATCAGTAGAAAATTGAAAACCGGTTATTGGCAGAATACCAGCATTAAAATCTTGTAGATTTATCCAACATAATTTTTAACATTTTGAAACACTTACTTTCATTCTACTAAATATTTGTTTTTGATTTCAAACGGGAAAAGGCACACGTTTCATAGAATGACCCACCTGTCACTGACAGTGAGGAGGTGGTTTCTGTTATAACCTGATCATTTTCCATTTGCAGTCACCTACTGCCTTTAACAGATGCTGCTTCAACAGCCATCAAAATGGGCCCATCACCCTTTATAAGACTGCAGGACTTTAAGACACTCTTTTCAGAGTGGATCTTAAGTGAATCACAAGGACAGAGGCAATAGCAGTCAGGGAACATTTCTCTCGTGCTCTGACTAAGAGCTCTATTAATAGGAACAGGTCCCCTGGCCCCTTTCAAACACTGATGATTCGCAAATGAGACAAAACAAAAATAAAAAAATAAAGAGCTCTGCACTTAAACAATAGTGACTAAACATGATACAACGGTCAATATAATGTGACGTCAACCGCTCATGGCAGTTCTTTTTTTATATTCATTATACTGATAGTAATACAATATATATTTTCCGTACCCACTGTAAATCACTACAGTCAGTTTATCAGCTACATGACATTAATAAGAGTACTGTAACATTTTAGCAAATATTTAAGTAAAAATGCTGAACAATGTGACACAATCACTGCAAAATGATGTTAATTGGAATTAATCAAAGCAATAAACACAACATTAATCTATTAACCCTTATGCTGAAAGAGTGGTTTTGAGATCTCTTCTGCTGGAGGAGAACCACTATGTAAACAAAACAACTTCTTACTGACAGCACCGGTCAGATCAATAACCACATGCCGGTTTCAAGTGAAGGATTGGTTAATGGCCCTAATAATGGCCCTTAAAATTGATATGCCTCATTTGAGGTTTCAGCTGTCAACTGACATCTACACTGTTGCGTCTTCACCGTAACCATCAATTCATGCCACTCTCTCTGTCAGGGACCACATACATAAATTAAACTCCCTGCAGACAAGCAGAAGTATTTCCATTCTTCTGAGTGCTCTTCTGAGGGGTTTATAAAGTGATAATGAACTGTCGTACGTCGTTCTAACACAAGCCCTCCTGAGAGGAGTAGAGATGAGTAATGGGATGCATTATTGTAGGAGGTAAATTATGGGAAGCATATGGTGCGGTTGAAATGATTTAGAGACGGTCCTAGAGGCTGATGTGAATCAGAGTGATTCAGGAAGTGAGGTGGAGACCCGAGCATGACGGGCCAGCATGCACACTGGGACAGTAAAGGACAAACCCTGGTCAAGTTTTCCAGCTGCTGTTGTAGCACAGGCAGGCTGTGTGACAGGCTACTGTCTGACTGATAAGATGACTTTGTTAAACGGTCGGTAGTGATTATTCAAGACCCCCCTAAGGAATTGAAATGTCCTTCCATGAGGACAAACATTTCTGAGAAAAGTGTTTTGTTAGGCATGGAGTGACAGGGATAGGAAATTAAAGGAACACTGCAATATAGTATTATCAGAAAATCAGAATTTGATACAATATTCACAATCATTTAAAAGTCTCTTTGCATTTATTTGATCAAAATAAATGACAGAGTGAAATATTATTACACTTTAAAATGAAGGTTTTAATATATTTTAAAGTGTAATTTATTTCTATGATGTCAAAGCTGAATTTTCAGAAGCAATTACTTCAGTCTTTAGTGTCACACGATCTTTCAGAAATCATTCCAATGTGCTGATTTGGTCCTCAAGAAACATTTCTTATTATTGTCAATGTTGAAAACATTTTTGATCAATTGATCAATAGAAAGTTAAAAAGAACAGCATTTATCTGAAACAGAAATAATTTGTAACATTATCTGCTTTCAATTTTGTTATAGTGTACATTGCCATTCTTTATGCGTTATAAAAAATATTATATATTCTAAATAATGACAAAATATGTAAATAAGTAAATAATAAATAATTTAATAAATAAATGAATTAATTCATTAATCTGAAAATGTGCTTTAAGAGTTTTTTTTTAAATGTTTCTTTTTCTTATTTCAAATCTACAATTTAGTGTGGTTTATGCTTAATACAAGAAGAACAAACAAAAGAGTTAACGAGATAGAAAAAATAAACCGAATTTAATTCAAGATATATTCTCTCAAAAGAAGTCTTATCAATTTTTTTTAACATGTTTCTTTCTCAAATAAGTTGATCTTGTTTTGAGGATGTTTATGTCAGTCTATCACCCCTAACACAACTCTGGTAGACCCAAGAAAAAGTCTGTGAAATGTGCATGGAAGTAATTTCCTTCGCAGCTCTCAATCCATGATGCTGGTCGCTGTGAGAGAATTTCCAGTAAGTCTATGGTAGCTGTTCTCATGCATTTAAATATCTGCCAGCTGAGAGGAGGCGGGAAGAGCTTCCCAAAAGAGGGTTTCAACATGGCACCGTCTCCTCCTACCGGAGCGTTGAACACTAATTGCCAATTACCCTTTTTAAATAAAGATTAAACAGCTGTCAAGTTAGATAAATGGAACATGCCCTAATGTTGTGTATACCTGAAGATCTTTCGATGGTAGAGGTCACACCAGTACATCTTGTTGGTGGTCACGTCCACATCTAGGGCCACGGCGTTCTTTAGGGTTGGCACTACCTGCGTATAGTCCTTCTTCAGCAGGTCAATGCGCCGGATCTCATGGCGGTTAGTAAACATAAGATATGGGCTCTTACCTATGAGGGAAACAGAAAAAGTTTCATCAGCTTACTTGTTATCTTGGGATCCTCCTAACAGATGACTGAACTGATAAACCAATCGCTACTAGGCAAGTTTGAGACAATCAACATCAGCAAAATCATTAAAAATAGGACACAGAAGACCAAATGAGATTTCTTTAACTTCTCAATTTTCAATTCACCTTGACAAACTGAGACTTTTGCTTATTAGAGAAAAAAGAGCCCAGAATTCTCACATGTACAGTGGGGCAAATAAGTATTTGATACACTGCCGATTTTTCTTTTGTGAAGAGATCATTATGTCAAGATCACATTTATAATAAATGTAAGATACCAAATTCTGCCAAGTCAAAAAAAGTAGAAACCTGACTTAAAAAAAGGGGAAAAAAGACAAATATAAACTTTTAGTGTCTCTTTCTGACCTGTATTGTTGTTAATTATTACAATTACGCAATTATGCAAATTAAAATAATTCCAATTATAAAAAATAAAAAAACTCAAATGCTTCTCATACAATTAATTATCTGGACCATGCCATTCATGTTCATTTTATAGCTCTTTAGTCTTACTGTATTCTACCAGTTGTTTAATTTGTCTATTTTTTTTCTCCTAAGGAATTTTTAGAATAAATCTCTGGGACAAAGTTGAGAATTAAATAAATTAGTGCTGAGAACTCAGCAAAATAATTTCACTCCAAAATCTACCAACATACAACTACACTTGTGTTGGATTCCACTGTTATCAGTGCATATACTTTATGTGCTACAGGGCAAAGGTAAAAACACTAAAAATCAAATGATTAAAACGCTCCCAGAGGAGAAGAATATTTTATCATTTAAATTATTACACTTGCCGGAATGCAAATGTTGTGAGAAAGAAGCTAATGAGAGCTGGCACTTCAAGTATCGTAGTAAAAAATAAACAGCAGTCTTCTCAGATTGGTAAACACTTTAGGGCATATTATATTTAAACAAGCATAGTGGCTGATTTGCACTCTTTTACTATTTATTAATTAGAAAGGCACACTTATCGAAAGCAAAAATATAACCATATGACTCGCACAAGTGCACCCAGTTGGGTGCGTAAAATCACTGACTTAAATGTTTTATTGCTTATTTCATTTGCAGAGTAAACGCATGTGTGTGTGTGTGTGTGTGTGTGTATGTTTCTAAAATGTAAACTGCAGCATTAGTTTACTCATGAATGCTGTGTGAGTCTGCAGTGCACCTGCAGACCATGATTCAGGTTTCCAGGTTACTGACATGTGGCCAAAGTGGTTCTGAGAGTTTCCAGGATATTACCCTGCACTGTGGTGTGTATGCAGATGAACATGTGTGTCTGTGTGCTGTTGGGGAGCTTAGTCACTGTGATTTGGTGCTCAGTCATGCTAACACAGAATATCACTGACCCTATTAGTTTATCCTCTATGTAGCAGCAAGGGAGGCTCCCCCTCCCCTCAAACCTACTTGAAATGGATGTAATTTATTTTCATCCTGTCACCTGCTCGCGTCATCAAAAAACTACGTTCCTGAGGAAAAATCTGTTCTCCCAACCCTCATTGTACCCTTCCTGTGCCCTCTATTATACTTTCATTCAGCTTTTCATCTCTAATAAGCTCACTGCATCCAGATATATCATGATTCGTATTACTGTAGAGGATATAATGTGATTTGGGTACTTCTTTTGCTCCTTTTACTCTCTAAGGTATGTTGACAGTGATATGCAAGCAAAAAGCAACGCAAAGTGTTTTTTCTCTTTTTTTTTTTTTTACAATTAAAGTTATTATAAAAAAAGTGAAAGCTAATTTGTATTAATTCATGCAACACACAGTACAGAACAGTAAAGTCAATAAATCTTCACCTTTATGCAAATGACCTTGATGCAATGCAGCAACTACCATTGGGAGTGCAGCGAGTGGAATTAGGAATGTGTACTAGCTACACACAGCACAGAGACCCGATCTGGTCATTTATGTCATAAGTGGTTAGATGGTTGATTACCTGGACTACAATTTGGTGAGGTTATGGTTGATTTGGTAGACTATCTTGGTCAACTTGGTTGGAGCTGGTAGACTATTATGACTAGGCTGGTGGGAACACATGGTCTGGATTCCAAAACTAACTTGACCACCTTGGTATAATATATGATATGATATGATATGATATGAGATATATGGGGTGCATTTATTTGATCAAAATACATTAAAAACAGTAATATTGTGAAATATTATTACAACTGAAAAGAATGGTTTTCTATTTTAATATATATACATATATATATATATATTTATATATATATATATATATATATATATATATATATATATATGTATATATATAATTTAATTAATTCCTCTAATGGCAAAGCTGAATTTTCTGCAGCCATTACACCAGCCTTGTCACACAATTCTCTAGAAAACATTGAAATATCAAGAAAAAATTCTTCTTATTATCAATGTTAAAATATTCAGGATACTTTGATAAACAGAAATGTCAAAATAACAGCATTTATATGAAATATAATTTTTTTGTAACATTATATAATGTCTTTACGGTCACTTTCAATCAAATTAACATGTCCTTGCTGAATTAAAGAGTTAACCTAAAAAAATACTGACCTCAAACTTTTGAACAGTAATTGAAGTAGAAAAGAATTACACTAACTAAATGACTGATTTCAATCACTCGCCAAACCAGACAGAGGCATCTCAGACGATACGCAAACATTAGATTCACATATACCTTGATGTTTTTCTATCTCTATTTAAAACCTGAGAAGAGTTTTGGGGAGTTTCAGGTTTGGGACAAATACACAGAGAATTTTTTTAACTGTCCTATCAGAAAAAGCTTCCCTCACAAGACTGTATGATGCACAGGGCACCATACAGAGTTTATTAAAGAATTTGCTGATTTTATATCCGAGTTAGTGCTGGCTGCAGATAAAGATTTAATTGTTGGTAATTTTAATATCCATGTTGATAATGAAAAAGATGCATTGGGATCAGCATTCATAGACATTCTGAACTCTACTGGGGTTAGACAACACGTGTCAGGACATACTCATTGCCGAAATCATACTCTAGATTTAATACTGTCACATGGAATTGATGTTGATGGTGTTGAAATTATGCAGCCAAGCGATGATATCTCAGATCATTATCTAGTCTTGTGCAAACTTCATATAGCTAAAACTGTCAATTCTACTCCTTGTTACAAGTATGGTAGAACCATCACTTCCACCACAAAAGACTGCTTTGCAAGTAATCTTCCTGATTTATCTCAATTCTTTAGCATATCCAATACCTCAGAACAACTTGATGATGTAACTCTCTTTTCTAGCATTTTAGATACGGTTGCTCCTTTACGCTAAGGAAGATTAAGGAAAACAGTCTGACACCGTGGTATAATGAGCACACTCGCACCCTAAAGAGAGCAGCCCGGAAAATGGAGCGAAGCTGGAGGAAAACAAAACTAGAGGTATTTCGTATTGCTTGGCGGGAAAATAACCTATCCTACAGAAAAGCATTAAAAACTGCAAGATCTGATTACTTTTCTTCTCTTTTAGAAGAAAACAAACATAACCCCAGTATTTATTCAATACAGTGGCTAAACTAACGAAAAATAAAGCATCAACAGATGTTGACATTTCCCAACAGCACAGCAGTAATGACTTTATGAACTACTTTACTTCTAAGATCGATACTATTAGAGATAAAATTGTAACCATGCAGCCGTCAGCTACAGTATCGCATCAGGTAGCTTGCTATAGATCGCCTGAGGAACAATTCCACTCATTCTCTACTATAGGAGAAGAATTGTATAAACTTGTTAAATCATCTAACCCAACAACATGTATGTTAGACCCTATTCCATCTAAGCTCCTAAAAGAGGTGCTTCCAGAAGTCATAGATCATCTTCTGACTAATATTAATTCGTCATTGTCATTAGGGTATGTCAAACTGGCTGTTATTAAGCCTCTCATAAAAAAACAACAACTTGACCCCAAAGAACTAGTTAATTACAGACCAATCTTGAATCTCCCTTTTCTGTCCAAGATACTAGAAAAGGTAGTATCCTCACAATTATATTCCTTCTTAGAGAAAAATGGTATCTGTGAGGATTTCCAGTGGGTGTGCTATTTGATAGCAATCTTTCCTTTGAAAGCCACGTTTCTAGCATTTGCAAAACTGCATTTTTCCATCTAAAAAATATATCTAAATTAGGACCTATGCTCTCAATGTCAAATGCAGAAATGTTCATTCATGCGTTCATGACCTCAAGGTTAGATTATTGTAACGCTTTATTGGGTGGTTGTTCTGCATGCTTAATAAACAAACTCCAGTTAGTTCCAGCCAAAATGCAGCAGCTAGAGTTCTTACTAGAACCAGGAAGTATGACCATATTAGCCTGGTTCTGTCAACACTGCACTGGCTCCCTATTAAACATCGTATAGATTTTAAAATCTTGCTTATTACTTATAAAGCCCTGAATGGTTTAGCACCTCAGTAATTGAACAAGCTCTTATTGCATTATAATCCTCCACATCCACTGCGTTCTCAAAACTCTGGCAATTTGATAATACCTAGAATATCAAAATCAACTGCAGGCGGCAGATCCTTCTCCTTTTTAGAGCCCAAACTCCGGAATAACCTACCTAACATTATTCGGGAGGCAGACACACTCTGTCAGTTTAAATCTAGATTAAAGGGGTCATATGATGCGATTTCAAATTTTCCTTTCTCTTTGGAGTGTTACAAGCTCTTGGTGCATAAAGAAGATCTGTAAAGTTGCAAAGACTAAAGTCTCAAATCCAAAGAGACATTCTTTATAAAAGTTAAGAGTCAACCACACCCTCCTAAAATGGCTCATTCTAACACGCCCCCACATGTCTACGTCATGATGTGGGAAGATTTGCATAATGCCGCCCAAATATTCACGCAAAGAAAGAAAACGTAACTTTTATTCTCGCTTTTGCCACCGCTACCATGTTGTGGAGTC